CGTGGGCAAGGACAAGCCTGCCGCCGTTGTTGACACCATTGTTGAAGTTATCAATGGCGACCTGTGGGTTGCCAGTGTTGGCCCAGTCAAGGGTGTCAACGTCGGAATGGATGACCTTGAAGCCAAGGCCTCCGAGGGTCTGGAGGTTCTCGGCGCTGACGCTGAAGTATGGTGGGCGCATGTAGGTGGGCGCCTTTCCGATGATGCTGTACAAGGCGTTGTCCAGCTCGTTCATCTGGTAGGTGACGTCCCCGGGGCCAAGAGTTGCGAGGTCGGGGTGAGACCAGCTATGTGATGACATGCATGTAAGAAAATGCTAAGAGTATACCCAAAATGAGAAATGAATTTGCAACTTACGTGTGTGAGCCAACTTGGTGACCCTCGTTGATCATGCGCTGGACGGTGCCCTGGTAGTCGTAGATGGAAGCCCAGTTCTGTCCGTTGAGGAAGAAGGTGGCCCGGAAACCAGCGGCGCCCAGAGCGCTAATAACCTGGTCAGTGTAGGCGAAGGGGCCATCGTCAAAAGTCAGGGCGATGGTGTTGGGGACGGTGCAGCCATAGATGATAGTTCCAACGGGGACTTGGCGTTTGTCAAGCTCAGGCTTGGAGACGGGAGAGGCGGCGGCCACAGCTGCCAGGGCGGAGCCCAGAAGATAAGATGCAAAGAGCATGATGGCTATATGGAGCTATCACGGAAGGAGGATATATTGGTTGTCTGGGGTTGTATGTATCGGTGATAAGGATATATCAGAATATACAGATCGATCTGGAGGAGCAAAGAATGGGCAGCCAAAGGCGCGAAGAGGCAATGAGTGAATGCTTGTTGTTGAGGATGATGGAGAGATAAAACCATGTAGAACGTCGTGCGAACGGCCCAGCTTTATACAATTTCGCGGGCTCTCGCTCTCGACGAGACGAGACGAGGTCGCAGCCAGCTGACCTGGCGTCATACTGCTTGGACCTGGCATACGAATCTTGCTTTCGAAAACCCCCCGGCTCTCTTGTCTTATGTTTCCAACGCTCAGCCGGTGGAAATCACCCGCTCACCATGTCTCTCCGCAAGCGCGCCAAGACACGCCGCCGCCAACCTCTTTTCGTGCCTGCGGCGGGCGAGAAAGATCATTCTACTCAAGGGTCAGAGCCGGTACGAGAAACATGGTGGGGGAAAGGCATCCAGTCAGCCACATCATGGAATTTGATGGAGGGGTGGACTGTTCGCTGTTCCCCCGAGTTCGTTCACATACAGGGCTGGCTAACCCCATTTCATGCCGTCATCCCCACTGGATTCACGTCCAGCTGAAGCTGGTGTTGCCGATCAATTCACTTATTCTAAGCGACGGGGGACTACCTTGTTAGTTGCAGCTCGTAAAAGAAAAAAAGAGGGACATTGGTGTCCGAGCGGGGAAGAAGCAAAGCAGTAATCGCTCAGGGGTCCAAGACAGAGACGCGGAAGAACAAGCAAATAAGAAAAGAAGGTTAGCGATATGGTTGGCCGGGGTCGGGGTAGCTGGAAGATACCTGCATATGCGAGTGTCCCAACTCATTTACCATGGGTTAGTGCCGCATGGACGCCGTGTGTCTCGGGCTCGGTCGCCCGTATCTTGGCCTGGCGTCCGCCGGTCGGGCAAGTCTCTCGCTCTGCCAACAAAAGTATACGTGAGGCGCAGGAGCTGGTGAGATAGCGGTAGGTTCGGGTCTCAGTCGGAAAGATGGGCGAATTAGACAAGATGGAGTCGTTCCCGCCAGCCAAGCCACTCTGGCATTGTTCCGTTGAACGGCAACAGCTTTCACAGGAACTGGAGTTGATTTCATGTACCTACTTCCCGATAATCTCATCAGAGGGGGGGGCACCATGGCGGATGATTAATGGGTGGACAGCAAATACACGGCCTCCGATCCAATATGCAGCCGGTTCGTCATACACTCATCCATCCGTCCATCCATCAGCATGCACCCAACTCCCAACTAGGCCACGCGAGCAAGCAAGGATGGACAATCATGGGATGTCTCCCGCCGAGACAGGGGGCACCACAGTATAAGGCTCAAACTCGCATGGAAAGGGTCACTAGACTCAACGTGCCAGGGCCAGCAAGCCAATCCAGGAGGGGTGTGCAGGCCAGCCCCTCTCTGATCAATCCGCGGCGCGTCCTTGGACAAGAAAAATGCGGGATGTGGGCTTGTGTGGTAGCATTTCAGGGGAGGCCCCCTTGACGCTTGAAGCTCCCGAAAGTACCGACCGGCTGGCCTACGATCGATACGACATCAACCGTAGCGCTTGTGTGTTTGTGTACTTGGTGGCCTGGGGGCTAGTGACGCTGTTCAACACGACAGTTACACACGCTGCCCAGGACATTGCATGCGAGTTTTCACCTGCATATCAGCCAGCCTCTTTTCACTCGAATTCAATGCCGTTTCTCACCACAGCAGGCTGGCAGTAAGAGAGCTTACGGTACAAGTCATCAAGCATATTATCTCCAGATAGGTAACGTGCCCCAACAAGGACTTTGGGCTGTAGGCTGCATGGCCGTCGTCTGTCACAAATGCAGTTCACAGTTTCTCGGCGCAGCGATGCCTCCACCCACACAGAAGCGGGAGTGTGCTCAGGTATGAACATGAGCAGCTGACGGCCGCTCGCTTTTCATCACATCTACGACGTGGCGCAAGAAGATGGTGACCAGCAACAGCGAGTCGGGTAGGTTTGGTGCCTTACATTGCCTATCGAGCCGTGCCATGGCGCCGCCGCTGGCGTCAATCGAGACCATCACGAGATGAAAAAAGGGATAACCCGTTTGCAAATGACCAAGGCGTTCACCATGTACAAATATGTGGCTCCGTGTCAGACAACAAGGCGACCGGGAACCATCCGATGAGCGGGCGAAATGGTCCAGCGTGGGTAGATGATTAGCATCTGGACGCGAGTGAATGCCAAAAGGCGGGCGCAATGGCGCTTTGGTCGTCTGGACTCCATATTAAGCATGTTGGGTAATTTCATGCGACAGACAGCAAGATTACCCTCAGCACAGCTGGAGCCTGAGCGCCACCATGGGTGTGGGAGGGAAAAGAAAGCAGGCAAGACATCAACCACTGCGCAATCGAGCCAGAAGTGGCGGTCTGGGTCATCAGGCAGGCTTCAATAGCACACTCCTCTCACTGTGTTACACATCCATCTGCAGCTCATCCACAGCCCCAGCCTGATACATGGCTGATGGCGCACCTGAGCAGGGATCCGCGCTGCCATCACCCGCAGATGATCGGTTGGACATCAGCACCCGGCGGGCAGCGTTCCAAGAATGATTGAGCTTCAGCTAGCCACTGCTTTTGGATAATAGCTTCAAATCGAGCCAGGAGACATCCAGATGGCTGCGGAAGATGTGCCAGGCCAGAGCTGACGCCAGGGGACACTGCCCCAGACATCGCCCTGGTTGGTTACATTCTAAGATTTGATCGGGTCCACTATGACTGAGACACGGAAAGCAATGAGATTGCGCGTTGGCCTTGTGATGCTGGAAGCAGTCTAACAAATCATCGCTGGTCGAGGCATGTCAACGCCTCAGACACACAGACGCGTGATGTTTTCTCAAATAATCCCTGCGCTTGATTCTCCCTACACCCTCTCGTTTTTACCAAATGGCAGGTTCCGGTCAAGGCAATTCTGCCCGGATGATTCGTGGTGCGTAAGATTACACCACCCCTCTGGCGGAACACATCCGCGTGATGCCGAGACCGACGCCGACAGTTGATGCCTACCCTATAGCTCACCATCTCACCATGGGAAATATCCTTGTGATCATCACCAGGCCTTTCTAACAGCCTCGGAGATGTTAATCTTGTTCCCCAGTGAGCCTAATGGCGGGAAATTAAGTCATGCTTAAAGTCCCATCTCCAAGTAGGGTTCCATTGCATTTCTTCAACCCACCTGACCAACATCCAACCAAAAGCCTTCTAAAAGATGACACAACGTGATGCCACCTCACATGGATCACCAACCCACACTACCTCGGAATGATACCGATCAATTATAAAGGCCATATTGAAAGATGATAGTCACACTGTAAGACCGCTAGAAATCAACAGCCCCATCGGGCTCATTCCAGAATCAGCATCTTGTCGGCCATTGGTATCAATACGTATGCCCGTCACGACTGATTCTCACTGCATGCGAGTGACAAATTATACACACGGAGCTTGTGATCATAAGATTGGCTTTTCCTCCTGCTGACCTAGGATTTAAGCTTCTAAACAACCCGTAATCCTTATACTGTCACTGTACTGCTTACCAACATTGGGACATCTGTACTTGGCAGACACAGTCATCGGGTGTGATGTGACATTAGAAAGGCAATAACGTTATGCTCTCCGTGGAAATGGATTTTTGTGACCGCTTGGTCCGACTTTTCTTTTGCTGGGAAGATATACGTGAAAAAAGGATATCCTACCGTAATTGATCTAGTCCTCAATGTTCTAGCATTACTCAACACTTCACACACAAGAGACGCAGAAGTTGACTATTTTAAGTCTAAACCCAGGTTCCTCTGAGATGGCAACGGGAAACCCTTGAATATTATTAGCCGAATGATCCGACGAAGGGTTTCCCAAGGAATTGGCGGCGAAAGGAGTTCGGTTGATTTGATCGAGGGCGCTAGAATGCCAAAAATATTCCCTGAACTGGGACTCTGAGAGATGCTTTTATCAGGGGCCCCTGTAACTGGCCTTGCCCGTTTTGTTTCACGTTGTACTACTAAAAGTATGTTCCGAGGCAGCACTGCATCTTTGCTGGGATGGGTGAATGATATCATCTGCCCAGATTATATAATCGCTCATGTCGTCAGATTGCTGTATGCCCTCATAATTTCCAGGCAGCAGCCCCGCACGCTGATGCTGCATGTCTAATAATCAATTATCCGCTGCACGTTGGTTGCCTCCGCAGTCAGTATTACCAACAGCCGTCCATCTAGTTGGCTGCCGTCGTCAAGTCAGGACTTTTGAACCTCATTTTGGCCATGACGCTTACAGGTTTGCCCATCGAGCTCTTGCATCACGTGGCGTGGTACTGTGCGCCGCACGATGTTCTTGCGTTGACCGAGACCTGTCGACTGCTTCGGGACACCTACGACGATATTTTGTTCCGGCAGATGTTCGAATACAATGTATGTTCCAAGATTCAGCAAGACTTCTGTGATGGCGGTTGCTGATTGGTACCTGTTTCGGCTGGTAGTTACCCCGAATCTCATCACGATCAATTGCGAGCGAGAAAGCTTTGGTGACCTTCATCACCGATCAATTGAGTAGGATTGCTCAGCGGCCTCTGCAGGACCAGGCTCATTATCATAGAGCATGGTGGAAGCATCTTGCCGTGGCCGTGTACCACTTGAGCTTCCTCAGGGACGGAATACGCAAACAAGCCAGCCAGGTTTCAACAGTGACCTCGGCGATGAGTGCAGATGGCCTTACCGGGATCGCCGAACTTTCAGAGAAAATTGAATCTCTGAAAAGAACTATTGGACTTCTGGCTACGTCAGTGGTCTGGGGATGTAAGTTTAACGGTGCCTCAGTTTGGCTCGATGCTGACTTCCATAAGGTCTATCGCTTTGCGATGAGGAGGTCATGCGTGGCTTTGATGAGCTCTGCGCCTGTACATACTCTAACAAACCGGAGGTTGAAACGGCCGAGCAGCTATTGAGCTCTTCACTTGGTTTGGAAACCGCATTCTGCTCAGCCATTTGTGCCATACAAAATTCTAGGGCATATCTGCCCCAGCCCGATCCCGAGGGCGATCTCGATCAACATGTTGATCTAAGTGGACTTGATGATTATCGTGAACAAGAAGGGGTTCGCATTGATTACGCTGGTAATGCTATGAGGCGCTACTTGGATACGTCATGGGACGACTATACCTACGGGAATATTCTTCCGAGCATGGCACTGCTCTTGTGCGCTGTGGCTGCACGCGTCTGTCGGCGAGGGGATCCAAAGGAAGAGGATGCACCGCCGCTCCCGAAGAATATCGCATTCTTTTCCCAGGCGAGGAGACAGCCATCGCCCGACGATACGGCTCCTATTGTGGTAACTAGCGGCCTAGTGGAGAGTATCCCCTTGCCCACAGTCACCAGGGTATTAAGGGACAAGGAAGGCCCTTCTTACTCGCTACCAGCAACCTGTTTGTGGGAGCTGTGGTACAAGGCACGAACTAGAGCTCTCATCGACGATATTGAGTCAAGCGTATGGGAAGGGACGTATACATACGGGCTAAGTGGCCGTCTTCGTAATGGCCGGTATCGTAATGACCCGCTGATGAGACACATTCGGTTCCATAAATCGTGTGAACAAGACCATCGAATCAAAATAATGGCATTGGCATGCAAAGATGGGGTTGGAGAATTTGCGTTGGAAGGGTCCGTGGATCTGGAGACCTTTGGGATCATGATCCAGAAGAGATATACTGGCCGCCATGGCTTCCAATGGAGAGGCGCAGTAACCCCACTGGGAATCTCAGGGTGTTATTTATCAAACTGGAACGAGGATGTTCCGTTGGGAGCATTTTGGCTGTGGAGACGTGATTGGAAAACTGGCATTTGAATTTGTACAAAGGCATGTAATTAGGAAGTGTGTGCTCACAGTTTACCTGACAAGGTATCAAATATAAGATGACCGGGAGAGCGAAGATGTGTTACTACAGCATCTCCTCGCTTATATCACTCTACAAGTAAAGTTAAGATGAATTCTGGATTTTCATATATTTCAAGTCGGGGATATATTTAGTCTTCGAGGTATTACATAACAGACAACGAAAGAACAAAATTATTATATAGCCTTGGCGGTCTTTGCTTATATCCCTTTCAAGACTTATCCGAACAGGGATTTTGATATAGGGCTTAGCTCCATCTCGATCCTTAAGGACTGGTCTGTCGGCCGGATCGCTACAAACCCTGACGCGTGGTTGGTCTTGAGTCTACCATTGGAGCAAAATGGAAGACAAAAGCAACACCGCCACCTGCCTTAATGAAGTTGATATTAATTTATGGCGAAGGAATATTGAAACCAATTTAGAAAGAATATAGAAGATTTTGCATTGGATCAGGTGGCGATGATTTTTCTAAGAATCTCCCTCTAATCTCGGCACTTACCACTCTCGGATTCGCCCTAACAAATGTCCTTATGTGAGACTGGCTGAAAGCCCACAGCCCACTTTCGGGCTATTTTCGTCCATCCTGAATTGACTGACTTGTAAGTTGGGGGGCTCTGGCTTCAGTCCTGGTCGAGGAATCATGCGTGGCGAGCAACGTCTTCGGTTGTACAAATAGGCCGTATCGCACCGTCCATATGGATTACTAGATACTGATCTTCAAACCACCTCACCAAGTCACTCCTTTGATTTTCTTCTTGAAGATGCGATTCTTTAATGTTATTACCCTTTTTACGGCCGCAGCGTCGGCTGCAACCCTCGAGGCTCGTGAAGAGGCAGAACTAGCCTCCCAGGGATGCGGGAGCGGGGAGGTGCCCGACGAGTTTCTTCAACTAGTTGCGGAGCTGAGTGCCAAGAAGTCTCACTCTGTTCGTAGTGTGAAGAAGAGGAAGAAGTGTTCTAGGCGCCCTACTACTAGCCTTGCAAGTGTTCCAAGTGCTTCCGGTACCCCGAGTGCATCCGGTACTCCAAGTGCTTCTGGTGCTTCTAGTGCTTCTGATGCTCCGAGCACTCCAAGTATTTCTGATGCTTTTAGTACTCCAAGTGCTTCTGGTACCCCGGGTGCTTCAGGTATTTCTGGTGCTTCTGGTACTCCGAGTGCTTCAAGTGCTTCAAGTGCGTCTGATATTTACAGCACCCCAAGCGCTTCTGATGCTTCTACCACTCGAATTGCTTCCAGCACTTCAAGTGCTTCGAGTACACCAAGTCCTTCCGGTGTTCCAAGTCCGTCTCCCCGGGAGATCAACGTTTACATCCATGTGATATCTCCCAACGCCACTGAGGACTATGTCACGGTGAGTACATTTACACATTCACTGGAAATGCCGAAACTTTACTAACAACACATTCAGGACGGCGGAATCGAGAGACAGTTCGACATGCTCAGGGACGAATTTGCCCAGCACAACTTCACCCTGAAGCTCGGCGGAAGCGAGCGAATCAGGAACGAGAGATGGTCCATGGCCCTCGACAGGAATGTGTTCAAGAAGAAGTTCCGCAAGGGTAAATATACGGATCTCAACGTCTGGATCCTGAAAAACCTCAACGCCACGGGCGTCAATGGCCGCGGCACTCTGCCAAATAAGAACCACCCCGAGACCTCGAGCAACTTTATAGAGGACGGCATCGAGATCCAAAGGAGCACCATACCAAACAAAGATGATGGAGATAAGTCCAAGGGCAAGGTGGGCGTCCACGAGATGGGTCACTGGCTTGGTCTACTGCACACCTTCCAGGGAGGCTGCACCGGCAACGGTGACTTGGTGGCCGATACTCCAGCCCAGAGCGGACATGCGTTGTTGAGCTGCAAGACTCGTTATAGCTGCCCTGGTGTCGGACCTGACCTGACCAACAATCATATGAACTACAGCCCCGCGTGAGTAAAACGATCTTAACTTGTCATCGATACTCTTGCTAACCAATCATCTATAGGCAATGTAGGACGTCATTTACACCAGGCCAGGTTCAGCGAATGCAAACCATGTGGGAGGTTCGGACCAAGTAATTCGGCACTCGCCGGATTGATACGCCGATCATCAACCTCTGGGGTGGGAACACTACCAATATGCAGACAGTCTAGCTTCATCACAATCAGTTTGTGTGACATTATAATCATAAGATTTAGTTCCTTGGAGGCCTTTTGACGACTTAGAAGTATTTACTCATGTTATAGTTAAATCTAACCGTCGTCACACTAAGCTTCGATGGAAGGATGTTGTTAACGAGACTAAAGCTGGGAGAACTGAGCTCGAGAGAGCAAAGTTCTTGCCGTCCGATTACCTTAATCTTGACGAAAGCTTCTTGCCATACGCGTGCCAATAGTATCGGCGCGGAAGTACCGGGGTTATGGGATGATCACCACCCTGCTCTCGCATCCTCGGGCCTTTCTCTCCCGTAATGCCCTCACCCCACATACCGACCGATCAGGGGCAGTTCAGGCAATGCAACCAACCATCAAGCACTTGAAGTGTATTGCATTACTGCTCAGTTTCTGTCTATTTCTTCTTTTTATGAATTATACCTGACTTGAGAAGAGCTCATAAGCGTCAAATGAACTATATTTCCAGAGAGCTTGCTAAATATTATCGGAATCAAGATGTCTTCGCGGCCGACTGATCAGAAATAGATGTCAAGGTAAGATTAGAACCTTCACACCTTCCTTCTTCAATGTGTGCTATCCTTTATTGAGAGTCTCGGAAGGTGAGTCCGTTCAAGCTTATCAAAACATGAAGAAATGAAACCTCAAGTCATCCGGGTCATTGGATAGGAACGTGATTTTCAGGGTGACCTCGGTGTGAGATACGACGTATGGCCGCCGTCACAATTAACATGTTCCTCACCATGAGCGAGACGTTCCGCAAAACGAACGGAAGTGTGAACGGAACTAGTCCTCTAAATTTAATGCCCTGTCGGAGCTAAATACCGAACGATTAAGATACGGCAGCAGGGTTACATCGAAGCCAAGAAGCTTTGGGAAACACCATCCACTAGCAGGATTGCGGAAGAGAAGCTTCCACAAGAAGTAGACGCTAGAAGTCAAATTAAAGCTATCTATTAATCCCGATAGGTGGAACGCGGATTGGGAATGCAGCTTTCCATTCGTGACCAGTCCCAATACGCATATCGGACCAAAGCCCTCCGCCAAAATTTAGCCATCATCATATATCAAGATAGCCCGACCCCGCAAGCAAGAGCTTGGCATTTATGCAGTTCGTGGTTCGCGGATAGCTCGACAACAACTACCGGACGCCAAGGAATGGTTGGGTTAAAAGGGTCCAATTCCCCTGACCGTCCCATCATGACGAGGCTGGAATCAAGCTGTGATCAACCAAGCTGCATTAGCTGACGATCAGCACAAGGAACAAAAGTACCATGCTTTCTCTCTCGACTATCTTCACCGCGGCCCTCGCCCTGGTAGGCGCCGTCAACGCTGCTTGCGGTGACGGGTCAGCTCAGGCAAGTGTCTCTGGGTCTGGAACCTTTACAGCGACTGTGAACGGCGCCAATGTGTACAGTGGTACCGATTACCGCCTCGCCATTCAGACTGCTCTCGACCGTATCAGCAGCGGACAGCGGCTGGTGGTGTGGTCTTCTGGCTCTATCGGTTCCAACACCATTACAGTCACTGGAGGCAAGACTTTTGAGGTCTGCGGAACTCTCAACGCGGTCCTCCGAAGCGGAAGGGGTGCAATCGAAGTCACCAACCAGAATGATGTCAGCATCCCTTACCTGACCATGACTGGAAACCCATACTTTGGTCTTCGCTTCTCTGGCACACGCAACCTGAACCTTGGCAAGATCACCATGAACCTTAGCGGCGGCCTAGGGATTCGATTTGACCGTGACCTTGCTCAGAACTACAATGTCAGGATGGACGTCATTACTGTGACAGGTGCTGGTAGCCATGCGGTTGAGACATGGAATATCGATGGCCTTACCATCAACTCGGTTATTGCCCGCAACGTTGGCGAGTGTGGTCTCCTGCTTCAGAAGACTATTAACGCATGGGTCGGATATGTTGAAGGCAACAACGTTGCGGCCGGAACTGGATACGCCACTCTTCGATTCGCCAACAACAATGGGCAGCTCGCAAACGGGCAGTATACTACGACAAACGTCTACATTGACAAGGTCTACTCTCGTGGCGGTGGCCGCGGAATCTTCTGTGTTTCCATGTCCGGGGCAGCCGAAATCAAGTACATCGACCTTGCCAACAACGGCAACAACGCCGTGCTCATCGAGAACTGCTACAACCTGGCCATTAGGGATGGTGTTATCAACGGAGGAGGGGAGGTCCGCGTTGCTGCTCGTGACGAGTTCCCCAACACTAGTGGCATCTTCTTTGAGGTCGAGGTGAACAATAATTCGGTCCGGGAATCTCCCTGTGCCGAGAACATTTTCTGGGCCATCACTGGTAACGCTAGCAAGAACATCTGCTAGGTGGAGATTTTGCGCTCTGGTATTATGCAAGTACGTATTCTGATAGGAAATGGGACGAATATCCCAATGGAAAGTCCCTCCGTACACACCTTGAATGTAAATAAATAAGTACTTGATTCACTTCTTACACCCAAGATTTGTATGCCGCCGCTCTTTCATCCGTGAAATAGATCTCGCCTAGGAAGTCAGGAGATGGCAATCCTTCCAATCCTTTTAGCATGTTCCGAGGTTGATAATGACCCACCACCGTCAAACTGAGCCTGTCGCCGAGCGGCATGTTCCATATTGTTCGCCATAGCTAGGTTTCATTATAAGAAACTGTGGGCCAACTACTAGAAGAGTGTTCCTGATTGGCGGCCAACGGGTTGCATGTGAAATAGCTGATGAAAAGGGACTAAAACTAAGAAGGTATGGAGTGAGGCCACTACGTCGGGATGGATGGGAAACCGATTGCCCATGCTGGTGCCAACTATTGCATATAACGACGGAGAGAGCTCTACAGGTGGACCGTCACAATTTCACGATCTCGATGCTATTGATAGCATTTATGCTGCGCTTGGATGCCTAACATGGACAGTAAGGGGGCGTCGGAACGGTGGCAATATACTGTAGACGGAGGAGCTGCTAGTCGCAATAAGAGTATTCGAAACAAGCATCGGCCGATTGAGAATAATAAGAAAAATGCCAATATGGATTAGTAGTAGCTTTGTCAAGCATAAGGTGTGCACCCGAACTGCTTAGCTTGAAGTTTCCGACAGAGGTTCAGCTGGGGTTCGATTGGCGATGGCGATGCGCAGGCATACGAAAGGACGCATATACAAATATTTAAATATGCATTTAATACGAATCGGTGTTCATAAAAATCCCTTTTCGTATCGCGGCATCCGGATTTGACCCCTGACTCTCCCGCTCTTAGGTCAGATCGACCTTTGGGCACAAAAGTGAGAACAAAAAACACCAATTGCTGGTATTAGGGCGTTTACGTGACCAAACGTAAAAGGCAAAGGATACGCCAAGCGAGAAAAGGATTGGGCTGGAAGTGGAATCATGATTTGCGGTCGACCCAGACTGGGAGCGGCCGACCTGGGAGGTTAGGCCCTTTTTAATCACTTCCAGAACTTCCAACAGAATCTGGGGGCTAAAACGAAGCGGCCGCCTCCTTGGAAATGGGTCGGGGAACGTGTCTGAGGCGGGTCGAAGGGCGGAATAGAACAGGGATGGTGACCCAAACGGGGGCCATCGGTGGGGGCTAAACTAGGCGATCGTGTTTGGTATTGAATATGGTTTTTTTTCAATGCTGACCTTCGTGGGTTACTGTCACTGCTGTCAAATACGTAGCTGGAATCAGACACGCGGCTGAGGACACGGCCGTGGCGAAGGGGAGGAGTGTCTTGCCCCTATCCCGCAGCGCAACACAACGTACGACAGCCCAGACGCGCCCTGCATCTGTCAAACGTCAATCTCAATATGCCCAAGACACGGCCGGAGGAACACCGGATATTGCCATGGTCGGGCCACTGAGCTACTCGTGTGCTGGCGGCCGCCCGCTCCATGGGACCCTGTTTTCTCGCATGCAACGACAACGCTCCCTTTTGTTTGGGTGCGGCTGAATACTGGATGCTGACTGGATCTCGGGCCCTCGCACACCACGCTGACCGTAGTTTTCTTTGTCTTTATTGGGGGTGCTCTTATTCTTGTAGTGAGGAGCAAGTCACATGAGTCATCAGAATGTCCCTCGCACAGGCGCTGAGCCGATCAGCCTCGCCCGCAAACACAACAAATACAACGCAGGCCTGACATCCGACATACTGAAGGATCGGACGCGCACTGGCTTTGCCTCACAACGGAGTCATATCTCGGCCTGTTCCTCCTCAATTTCATTCCGGAGATCCTCTTTCAATCATATATATAAACCACTACATCCGGCCGCTTGACCCCTGAGTCGGCGCGTCCATCTCCATGAGCTTGCCATCTGCAGTGTCCATTCGACCGCTCCACCACGCCACAAACGATACAGTCCGTGAAACACATCGCCAGGTAGATCAAGGCTATCAGGAATATCCATTCATCAGTTCCCCGGACATGGAGACACTCACGTCCACCCTGCTGGCCCTAGAAGGCAATGTTGACAGGCCAGCGCCAAATCCATTCGACGTGTACCGGATACATGTCTCTCAGATAATCTCCGCCATTACTGGAGCCTCTCCCGAGGTTGTCTTTCCGGCCCTGCAGGTGGCGCGGACACTCTCAGAGGGTGATCTCATCCTGGCGACCGCTGCTCTTCAACTTGCAGACGCTGACTCGAGCCAACTCATCCGAAACAAAGTGGCTAGTCCCTCTCCTCCTTTCTCCTCTTTACGTCACTAAGCAGGCGTTCTGACCCCCGCTCTTATGCCCAAAAGACTAACAGCTTTCCTCGTCAACAGTTCCCTGAGTCCGTATTGGTAAATCATCCTGTCGCGGACCACAACAACTCTCTTCAATTCTACTTCAAGCCTGCGCCCTTGGCTGCCCTGGTGCTACCTCAGGCCCTTGATAACACCACATGCCACATTTCTGGGCTCAACCAACCAACAGGACTTGATCGACAGCAATCATCATTTCTCCAGTCTTCTCTTAATCAACTCAACTCTCTTCTAAGCACTGCGGACTTCGGAGTAGAGCAGCTACTGACCGCTGACTTTTCCCTCCTCACGGAGAAATCCGCCGTCGACATCGTCCGGACCCTCGCCCACTGGCCTGCCGTACTAGGAAGCATCTCATCGGTGAAACAGCCTGCAGATGTATCGAAATACCTCCTAGAACTGGCCCAGTTGCTGGAGGCGAGCTACAGTCAATTGAACATTGGAAGTGGCGCACAGGATGTTAGAATTGCTCGCTTGGCGCTGTATGTTTCTGCACAGCGTGTTATGACGAGTGGAATGCAACTTCTCAAGTATGTTCGCCCTCCCTCCCCTCCTTTGTCGAATCCGGTCCCAGTTTTGAGAAGTTTGCTAATACCTACCAGTAGCAGTTACTGAAATGACTAAATGACATTGCGATCTTCATCTGGGTTAGCGATTATGATTTTAATGCCAAGCACATGCATTCAAGGGCAGCATAGGAGCGACATTTACATGCGGAGTTTATTTGAGATACCTCTTTGACAATAACATGTTATAATTTATGTTCTGGTATCATTCGCTGAGTGAATGTACGGAGGCGTGTATAAGGGACCTGGTCGTCTCACTGTATGAACCCGCGACGAAGGACTGTTGAATATTGACAGTTATTTTCATTTTCGCATGTACCGCCACGGAGGCTTATGGTCAAATATAGAGTCACTCACCGCCGCCAGGGCCAATCCCTTCAATCTCCTCTTGTTCGTTCGTCCTTGTATACGTTGAGAATAGAGGCATACCACCAGATTCTTGCTTCTATATGAGAATACTTGCAGCCTACGAAACCAAGCATACACAATGTATATATTCAATTTCACATTAAAATAGTCTTTATTATACGCTCATGGAGTCGTTGATATGTCTATAGAATAAAACAAAACGCTTGCGAGCTGTCTACCTATTAGAACTGGCTAAAGGTGAGAAACACGCGAATACCTCCTCCTCCATTTAGTCAGTTGATATCGGGTCTCAAACTATTTGCCCCGTGAAATGGCTTCATTGACCCATTCCAAGACCTGCAGTGTTCTGGTCACCCAAAGTGGGTAAAGAAACAGAGCTTTCTGAACTCATCAGGGGAACCTAAGCAGCCACTATTCTTGAGGATTCGCAGTGTAAATAGAGTTTTCCTCTCAACATACGCTACTAGATATTTCAGTTTCGTTTCCGCCTACCTGCCAATCCCCGCTCGTAGCTGCCATGGCCTAGATCCAGATCATACTCATCAATGCCGTTGTCCTATCACCGGAATTGGATATACCTACCTGGGTGGAGACCGAGTAGAGCCAATTTCCGGTGTTGGAAGTTCTGCTATGCCCTGTGCTCTATTTTGCAGAGACTGGCGACCATCCATTTCCGACACTGGCGTCGAGTTGAGTTCCATGATAGGCACACTAGCTCCTGAAATAACTTGCCGATAAGGGGGCAGTGATTGATTGCTCGGCTCTTTAAAGTCTCCGGTCGTTAAGGGCATTGGATTACTGTTTTGCTGTCGACGACGGCGCAAAAGCCAGAATATCCCTGCGGCAATCAAGACAACGACAGCAACGCCTCCAATAGTAGCCCCATCGATGACACCAGCCGAAACCTTGCCGCCTGAGGACTGAGTATCTTGAATCGTGTCTGTCTGATTTGTGTCTGTTTGTCTTGTGTCTATTTCCCCGTGATGTCAGATGATGGCAGAAGAACTCAGTAATCATTACCTACTGTTGCTTGATCGATTTTTCCAAAACAGCTCTTGGATGACAGGCGTATAATTATACCCGTCTGCTTCACTACCTATTCGTTAGTATTACGAGCCGAAAGAGCATGAAACCGCCCTTCAAGATTCAACATACCCGCTCTTGTAAATCTCTTGGACCTTTGCCGGCGAGTCATAATCGCCTAAGTCAGGATCATATGAGTCCACCCATGCCGAAGTGACGAGGTCGAAAATGCCTATTCCCCTCGGCCAGACATCATCGCTTTTGAACCCCCCGCCCCTATACTTTGCTATGCCCCCGATAGAAATGAACTGTCTATCTCCAGCAATTACACATTTATGCCCATGACGTTTAGCGTCTGGACTTGGAGCGCTTGAAAGTTGAAACCATTTAAATGCTGGTAAAGACAAGACCCAAAAGTCATCCAATGTTGTTTTCTTGGTCGACAAGCCCCCAAACATATATCTAGCTGTGTGTTAGAACAAGCAACATTCATTAGACCTTGGGGGTTGTGGAAGAGCCTTGGACTTACACCTCGAGCGTTCCGTTTTTCCCTTGAGCCACAGCAGTACAGAAGTATTCTCGTTCTGAAGGAAATCCATTGGTGTCTTTGACCGTATCTTGTCGATACCACTTCTGTGTGATCGGGTTGTATATGGTAACAGAAGTGAGAGGCTGATGGTCTGCCTCGAACCTTGTGGCTCCACCAAGAAGCATGACCAGCGGAGTGCTTCCAAAGCCTTTTAAGCAGACAGCAGCTCCGTTCCAGATATTTCCCTGAGGACCACTCGAGTCGAAATTTGTGATGTTGGACCATTCTGATGAGCTTGCGTTGTACATACGGACACCAGGCGACCCTCTGTTGCTCTCCCCGTAAGATGACCCGTCATAGATGTAACCCCCAATGTAAAATCCAAGGTCGTCGCAAAATACTGATTCGCCATGAGTACTTGGGATAATCTTGTCGAAAACTGCCTGCTGGGCTGGCTTCTTAATGCTCCATGTCCCATCACCACTACCATCTACTGAAAGCATGTACATCTCGTTCTCTTGGCCCTCTTTGTATCGAGCTGAACGAGAGAGCTCACCAGCCCATCGGTATATAGCGTTTCTTTTGGGATCAGCCCACAGGCCAGCAAAATTAGTGGCCCGCATGTCGCTCTTATAAGCGATTTCTTTGATCTCGACCGATCCGGGTTTCCACGGTTCGTTCAGTGGTATTACAAGTGTTTTGCTGACTGTTTGGGATATGAGAAATGTGGTTAGCGAGCTGGAAAGGCGCATTCAAAAAAAGCATCAATGACCTACATTCCAATGATTCCGCGTCATTTGTTTGCTCCTTGTCCACCAAAGTCGATATTTGGCCGCCATCAATATATAGATAATCGCCTAGTATAACGGCTGAGGCAAAGGTCAGCATTTGACCCTAGCTTTGGAAGAAGGAATCAAATATCATCTACTGATATACTGAAAGGATTGGTGAGCTACCTTCGTGATGGGCTATTCTTTGGTTCGTTCCACCTTGGATATATCGGTTAATAAAGGTGGTATTGTCGGTCTGATCCGCCCTCTCTTGTACATATTCACCCAAGGAAAAAGATAAAAATATCGAGGCGCAAAGGGCGAACCGAAGGTCATGGTTTCGAAACATTCTGATTCGGTCAAAGATTAACACCCAGATGAGGCGCCCTGATTACCAGCCTGGACGTCAAAGCAAAAACAACACGACTTTGGGACTGAGGGTCCTAAATGGGAAGAATGCTGGTTAATAAGGCAATAAGGTGATTACTTTGTGACACATATAAACTAGGGTCTACCAAAGACCCTACTTAGAATGACCACTTCGTAAACTTAAACACCAAAATGAGGATCTTTTGATCCGGCTCGCCCTCGCCAAGCTTCCTATGAGGACAGCTGGCTGTCAAATGCGTGGCTGATTGGCCACATTTCTGTTACAATCTTGGCAGTAATGTCCGTGTGCATAATTACGTAGTGTAGTACATTTTGTCTGTAGGCAGATCAATGCCGTAAAGGGAGTGCCAACGTTCCATTTGGGGGTGACATTGATCAGTTTCAGCACACCACCAAGGAGCAACATTCAGGAGTTAAAATCCTCGGGCGCAGCTTTAGGCTCCTTATGGGGGCCACTCACATCCTATGTCCCTGAGTGACAGCAGAAGTGAGAAATTAAGTTGAAGGCTGATTGTCCATTTTCTACCATGACTAGAATAATACGGCAGTAAGAAACGATATAAATTGATTCTCTCTAGCTACTGCTAATTGAGTATTTGTCCCTAGCCCTCAATCATCTGATAATACTGGTCACAGACTTGAAAGCAAGTAGTATAATGTTTGAGTGTCTCAAAGCCAGAGTCAGTCAGTTAACGCTCTTTCGTACATACAACCCCAATTCATTGTGATGTCTTGGCCACCACCTCTTCTTTGTGTCACAGTCAAGCTCACATTCTAGGTTGAGCTGCTTTAGATTTTGTTCTCATAAACAGACTTGATGAAAATCAGATCCACCGGAATGAGAGCAAACGAAATGTGCGGTGAGACAAGCAGAAGGTAATAGGATTGGTGAGAGGAGTAACGAAGGGGATCCCAACTAATGTTAGGGGGCTGAGGTATGGCATTTAGCTTCAGTAGTCGGGATAGTGGCAATCACTATTACAGAAACCTTTGATATACGGAATGATAAGATTCTTAAACGCCATCATCAAAGGTATAGTGGTTGGACCACCGCTATCAAACATCGGTTATCAAACAGCCACTTAGCAGGGGAGGGGGGTTCTCACTGTGTCCCAAGTACGCGCCTTGTTAACGAAGCGTAAATCTGTTCCGAGGCGAATTCTGCCCTCTGAATCGTGATTTATAGTGGATGCATGAATCTGATTTCTTGTGATCAGCATGGAGAATTGAAAGATAAGAACACGCAAGGGACCAAAAACTTACCATATGCGGCGTGTGAAGAACAACATCACCTGCCTCATACGAAGTGACAAGCCACTTTCTGTTATATCTGCGCCCAAAATCTCCTGGCCCCTCGCACAGGAAACCTGAGGTCATCATATTTTTATTAAACGCATTCTTCGTTTCTTCCTCGCTTAGGCCCGTTTCCTTCGCCTTCTTGGTGAATTCTTGCTCAATATCCTCGCCCAATTTCTCCCCTGGAATGTCAGATACGTTAGCGATTTAGTCCTGCCACGAGGCAGTCGTTGAAACAGACCTCCTTCAAGATAGATAAGACCACCCCCATCGATCTTCACATCCCCAATCGGAACCCATGCTGTCACAGACGTAGGTTCTCCGTATCTCATAAACGTTTGATCATAATGTACGCCAATTGCTCGGTTACCGGGCGTGTTGTTCCGTAACAGCGATCTCTTCACGGGAAGGGTGTCATCCCCCCATTGTGTGAATTGGGACACGAACTCGGTCAACGCAGGATGATTGGCAAATCCGAGCTCGTCACCAGCTTCTGAACCTGCGTACCACTTTGCTGTGTGTGCTTTGAGTGCCAGCTCAGTGAAAACAGCTGATTTGTCTGTCTCTCCCGGACGAGCGTTCTTGACCGATCCTGCACCAATTCCTGGGTAGTCCGCAGCGGAGGCATTGGAGTTAAAGATGCCCTCTACTGGGGCCGAACC